TCCCGGAGGGTCCGTAGGAAAAAATGGGACTTGGGCGTATTCCCGAATCGAATTCCGAGGTCCCGAGCCTGAGAAATAAATTTTCAAAGAAAATTATTTTCTAAAATTGTTTAAAGAAATTTGAAATGAAATTTGATTAGAACATGATGGTATCGGGCCCGTATTTTGGTTTCGGCGCCCGGTACAGGTCTTATATATGATTTAAGATATTTCTGTGGAATTTGGTGAAAAACGGATGTCATATGACGTGATTTGGACTTAAATTGCAAAGTTGATGTTTAAAGAAGTTTTGAGAAGATTTCATTGCTCTTGAGATTTAATTTGATGTTCATGATGTTATTTTGATGATTTGATTACACAAATAAGTCCGTAGGATGTTCTTGAGGTTTTGTGTGCACTTGGTTTGGAGTTCCGATGGCTCGGGTGAGTTTCGGGATATTTTAGGCTTAAAACCAGAAATTGCAGGTCTCTGAACCCCACGAGTGCGGTCCGCGGTGAAGGCTATGCGGTCGCGGTCGGCTTTGTGCAGTCCGCACAGAACTCTGATGTGCGGCCGCAGTCGACTTTGTACGGTCCGCACAGGGCCCTGTTGTGCGACCGCAGTCAACTTTGTCCGGTCCGCACAAGGGGTCTGAGGGGGTATAAATAGACGGGATTTTCAGTCATTTTTTATTTTTCAAAACCCCAAAAAACATAAGAGGCAATTTTTCAAACAACCTTTCTTCTCCAAATCAATTGTAAGTCATTTTTAACTAGTTTTCTTCAATCATTAGCATCTTTTAATATGATTTCAACTTTAAATAAATTATTTTCATAGGGGAAATTGGGTGTTTTGGGTAGAACCTAGGTTTTTTCAAAAATTGGGGATTTGGACCTCGATTTGAGGTCCAATTTCAAAACAAATTATATATTTGAGTTCCTGGGGGAATGGGTAATCGGGTTTAGGTTCGAACCTTGGGTTTTGACCACGTGTGCCCGGGGCGTTTTGACTTTTTGGGTAAAACTTTGGAGAACTTATTTTTCATGCATTCAAATTGATTCATTTAGCGTTTATTGATATAATTAAGTAACTTGTGGCTAGATACGAGCGAATTGGCGAAGGAATCAAGGGGTAAAGCTGTAATTGAAGCTTGAGTTATGTTTGAGGCATCGAGGTAAGTGTTTGGTCTAGCCTTAGCTTGATGGATTAGGAGTTGTGTCCTATTTGCTATTTGTTCCTTGTTGAGTACGACGTATAGGCATGGTGACGAGTATCTATGCATTGGTGTCAAGCATGACCGTGAGTCTTATATTGTGATTTTCATTATCTCGTTGTATTATTTATGCTTTGGTAAAGATTTCTATTTGTAGTATAAAGTTGTGGAAAGAATTGTGACATATGAACATTGAGGAGCGTTGACTCCAGTTGTATAATGAATTGTGAAAGTATAAGTGATAATCGAAACTCTAGAGTATTGGCTCGAGTTGTGAAGTGAAGTGTGAAGTAAAAGTGAGAAAGAGAAGAGATCATTATGTTGCCCCTTGCCGGGCTGTTGTTGAGTTGAGGTTCCCTTACATTGTGTTCTTAATGGATATTACGGACGCTCAGGTTGATGATTCTTCGTATTAGGTGTTGTAACAAGTTTGGTTATAGCTGGGTAGTTAGGTGTTTAACAAGTTTAGTTATAGGTGAGGTAGTTAGATGTTGAAACTAGTTGAGTTATAGTTGAGATAGTTAGGTGTTGGAACAAGTTTGGTTATGGCTGTTTCTCCCTTGCCGGGACATATATACTTGTACTGTGGAGTTCCCTTGCCGGGATAGTGTAGTCTATTATTGATCCCTTGTTGGGACGATTAATTATGATTATTGTGGACAGTATATTTGGAGCGGGTTGTGCGCCACAACATTATTAGATATTATATTGGATCGGGTTGCACGCCGCAACAGCTATATATGTGGATCGGGTTGCACGCCGCAACAGATATTATATTGGATCGGGTTGCACGCCGCAACAGCTATATATGTGGATCGGGTTGCACGCCGCAACAGATATTATATTGGATCGGGTTGCACGCCGCAACAGCTATATATGTGGATCGGGTTGCACGCCGCAACAGATATTATATTGGATCGGGTTGCACGCCGCAACAGCTATATATGTGGATCGGGTTGCACGCCGCAACAGATATTATATTGGATCGGGTTGCACGCCGCAACAGCTATATATGTGGATCGGGTTGCACGCCGCAACAGATATTATATTGGATCGGGTTGCACGCCGCAACAGCTATATATGTGGATCGGGTTGCACGCCGCAACAGATATTATATTGGATCGGGTTGCACGCCGCAACAGTTATATATGTGGATCAGGTTGCACGTCGCAACAATGTTAAATGATAAGGGATCAGGTTGCACGCCGCAACAGTATTGTTATTGTGTTGATTGTAGACATCGAGTGTTCTTTCATACTTTATTATGTTTCTGATAGAATTGATATGTTTCCCCGAAGCATGTTTCCCCCTCCCTTTAAAACTGTTACTACCTGTTTATATTTCTGTTGTATATTATATAACTGCACAGGTTTATCTGGAGTCTGGTCCTAGCCTCGTCACTACCTCGCCGGAGTTAGGCCAGACACTTACCATCACATGGGGTCGGTTGTGCTGATACTACACTCTGCATTCTGTGCAGATACCGGAGCGGCACTTGATTAGTAGCAGTAGGGGAGCCAGCCTTCAGTCCACCGAGACACCGAGGTAGCCTTGCAGGCGTCCGCAAGCCCGGCGTCTCCTCTATCTTTTATTATGTTCTGTTATCTCATGTATCCGAGACAAACAATGTTATTTTTCCTTCAAACTGTTGTATGTAGTACTCCTAGTAGTCCATGGATATTGTGACACCAGTTTTTGGGTAGAGGCATGTGTTGACTTTCGAAACATTTTAGTTTTATTTTTATTTAAGACTTCCGCTTAAATCTCATATTCCGCTGTCATGTAGGTGTTTATCACTTGTTAAAATGAGTTATAAAAAAAAAAAGAATAACACAGAAGAGCTAAAGATTTCTAAGTTCGTGGCTTGCCTAGCTTCTACGAGTAGGCGCCATCACGACTCCCGAGGGTGAAAATTCCGGGTTGTGACAATATATAGAGAGAGAGATTGAACATATTCATATTCGTTCCTCATCGTAGTAACGGCTTAATGCTAGAGAAGAATTAAAAGAGATACATTGCTATATCCAACTAAAAGAGATTCATTAATAAAAAATTTAACATGGTCTGGAACGCTCGTTGTAATTCTTCGTCCTTGAATGCCTCATCTCTTCATCTGGAAATTTGTTTAAATCAAATTCATAATCAGCTACATTCAAATCAAAATTGTGTCACACTCTTTTAATTGAATCTTCGACATTCAAATCAAATTTGTTTAAATCAAATTCATAATCAACCACATTCTTTCATTATCGTAGTAGCAGAATTTTGGCTTAAGAATAGATTTTATAATACAATGGTGGAAGTTGTTAGGATTCCGGTGTTTATTGACTGTATTTGTGTAAACATTATAAAGTGTTTAAAAAAATAAGATTGATTTATTGGTATTTGAACAAAGTTATCCATAATTGAGGTGTTTGTAGTCTTTAAGGATAATTATTACTAAAGGTAAAAAAGAAAAAAAAATTAATTTTGTTTTAAACTTCTGAAATGACAAATTTGAGACAATTATTTTTAATAACCACGACTAATAATATGAGATGGAGGGAGTATGCCAGTCATCCAATTCCAATGCCCTTGTTTGGTAAGAAAGAGCAGCACACTAAGGTAGGAAATCTCACAAGTCCATGTGTTAAGAATTTTCACAAAGAGAGTAGTCAATACTTAGGAGATTCAAATTTAAGATGGTACACAGTATATAGTTCTTCTTGTATCTGATAAATATCGTTCGAGCTCTGTTAATTTGGATGCTAGACAATTCATTGCAATTTGCCTATGCATTACTTTTGGTTTTAGTTTGTATACTCGGAGACTGTTCAAATTATTGAGCTATTGTTTGGTCATAGATTCTCAAATTTATTTTAAAAATTTTAATTTGAGTGAAGTTTAATTTGAAGATGAAAAATGGACGTAATTTTTTCAAAATATATTTCACTTTTTTTTTAAAAGAAAAAACATGAAATGTGACTTATACCCACAAGTTTTAAAAACAAAAATACCCAACAACTCCGAAGAAAATTTATACAAAATAGGCGAAATAAATCTTAAGAAAATTTATACAAACATTAGCAGATTTTAGTAAATTACCTTCAAATTTTATCTTTGCGTTGGATTAGATTGGCACAATAATTTTGGCGAAGGTTTTCTCCTGTTTATAGAGATGGGCAAAGCCGCGTGAGTTTAATGAGGGAAAAGTGGGTAGATATGGATTAGTTGAGTCATAATAACAGAAAATGAGCTTCTTTTTTTATAAAATATAAAGTTTAGGGTAATTTTTGAAATTATTTTACAAACCAAACGGTAATATTTTGAGCCAAAAATAACTCTTGAGCTGGTTTTGGCATTTAGAAATTTGCCAAAATAAAAAATCTATAAACAAACATGTATATATATTTGCCAAAAAAAAATTAGAAAAAATTTCGCAAAATTTATGGCCAAACGGGGATTAAAAAGTCAACTATAAGTATTTATAAAAAAAATCATGATTATTGTAATAATATATATAAAAAAACAACTTATTGTAATTGGCTAATCTTCACATATAGGGTAAATAATTGTTATAGCAAAATAAAAAGAAAGTATTCATTCTGAAGTTAAACATAAATGAGTAGTTGTATAGAAGGACAAATCTTTTTTTCTCCTTTCGATTACATTGAATGTTTTCCATCACTTCACGAGAACTAATAACTTGAAAATTAAATTGTTTTTATTAAAAATGTTACAACCTACATAAATTAGATTTAATTGTGAAAATCTCTACATTAACCTATAAAATTTTGTTACTTAATTTATGCCTCAAAGACTGTGGGGGACGAGGCGGCCAGATCCCTTACGTCTGTCTCAAACAAATAATCAACCATAAATTTTCTCTCCCTAGTCTTCTGGGTTTTGTACAAGTCTCCACAATAACTAGGTAGAGGAAAACAAAAATACCAAAATCCAAGTCTGACTATATTCATGGCTTCCAATAATAATCAAGATTTACCGGAAGCCACAGTGCAAAACGTGCTAGAGCAAGATACACTGAAGTGGGTATTTGTAGGGGGTAAAGGTGGGGTTGGCAAAACTACATGTAGTTCAATTCTTGGTATCCTTCTTTCTCAGGTCAGATCCTCAGTTCTCATTATATCTACTGACCCTGCTCACAATCTCAGTGATGCCTTCCAACAACGCTTTACCAAGTCTCCTACCCTTGTCAATGGCTTCTCCAATTTGTATGCCATGGTATTCTTCTTCTTTCTTTTTTTTTTTACACCCCTTTTCCTTTAAAGCTCAAATTTTTATTTGGATCTTGTTTGCTTCTTCTTGGAATTAATTAATTGTGTATCACTTGTGAATTTGGTGCTCTTGGTATTGTGGGTTAATAGTTGTTACAGAAAAAAAATGCCACCTTTATTGTTTAGGGAATGAAACAGGTACTACAATTTTGTTATAGTTTTGCTTAGTAACAAAAATTGTGTCTTTCCTTCATGCATGAATTGAGAAATTTAAGGAAAATTCATTTTGAATTGAGACAAAAACAAAGGTTAGAACTTTAATACTCCGAACTCCTTTTTTTGTTTGTTTGTTTTTGTGTGTGTGTGTGTGGGGGGGGGGGGGGGGGTTGTTAATTTAGTGGGTGTGGAGGAGACGTTTGCTGGAATTGATTTTAGGCCCTTTTGTATTAAGTAATAGTACTCAGCTTTACCAAGCTTAAGTCTCGTGTTTATATTGGGGTGTATTGAATTCAAGGAGTGACCTTTACTGGATAATTTATGACAACTTCCTGGCAGTTTGAATGTATGGTCAATTTCTTTTTTAACCTAATATGCTGTTGCTGGTCTTGATTTTTTGATTGAACTTGCGTTATTTAGGAAATTGATCCAACTGTGGAGAAAGAAGACTCAGTCACTTCAGATGGTATGGACGACTTTTTGTCTGATTTGACAAACGCAATCCCTGGGATCGATGAAGCTATGAGTTTTGCGGAGATGCTAAAGTAATTGGTATCCCTTTGTAATAAATACCATGATTGTTAACTTTCTTGGGGATAAATGTTTTATGAACCCCAAATTTATTTGAAAGTGATAAAGATTTATTCTTGCGTTAAGCCTCATTTGACACTATGCAATTATGGTAGCATGGAATTAGGAGGATAATGATGTGAAATTAGTATATTGCACTGTATGAAAGGCTCTTTGGATGTATCGTATCCCCTAAACACTGGATGAAAAGATTGAGCCAATTTACAGTATCTTATCTAGTTGATGGACTTGAATGTACATTGAGCAGTAATTTAGTTGCCACAGCATGGCCTTTATTTAGGCTTTTTGTTTATGGGAGATATATTATAGTAAAACTATATAAAGTGCCGGAAGAGCTACAAGTGATCCAAAAATCAATGAGTCTAGGTTTTGGAAGATTCACTACACGAATACACAAAGAACGTATTTTGTTGTTCATGGTTTCTTGGTATCCTCGGATCAAATTGCCCTTCACTTGCTTATCAGGAGAACAAGATATTAAACCAACCTTCAATAGTTGTTTATACATCCATGGATGAAGATCTGTTTTGTTATGTGGTAAATAGAGGACTCAATACTGCTCTACTTTAGGAGATCCTAGAAAAAGCTTCCTACTCTGGATGACATAAAAAACTGTCTTTTAGTATTTAGGCCTAGTTACTTATCAAAAAAGTATATAGACCTAGTTGGCCTGATCCGTTTAATCCAAGAGACCTATCCTGTATTAAAAGGGCCCCTATCATCACCATACTAGACCCACTAGAAGAGGAATAGGGGACAGCTATCTCAATGCACTTCATAATTTAACGGTAACCCCGACAACCCGATAGGGTGTCTGTGGATCTGGATCCATAACATGTGCCCTCCATCACATATGTAAAGAGCCAGTCTTGAATTTGAAAGAAGGACAAGAGTGATTCCACTAGACGATGACGCTTAAGGAGGTATCAAACTGCACTAGTTAACGACCCCTCTAATTGACACATCACTAGATATAAACGAAATTGGACAAGGGATGTTATTTCAACTGAAAGTGATCATCATGACTATTCTTTTTCCTGAACATCTGATTCATTAATTTGTTGAGATCCTTCTAACCCTTTTGGTTCGAAGTTCATTTTCTATGGTACATCCGTAGTGCTTAAATGTGACTACTTTCTTACATTTGTCTGGAGGCCGATATATTTGTTTATCAGTAGGTTAACACTGCTGGCTTGTTAATCAAATTGGGCTATAACTTTTTTTCCATTCGTTTCTTTCCAGATTGGTGCAAACCATGGACTACTCGGTAATAGTGTTTGATACAGCCCCAACAGGGCATACTCTTCGGCTATTACAATTCCCATCGACTCTAGAGAAAGGGCTTGCCAAAGTGATGAGTTTGAAGAGTAGATTCGGAGGTGTGCTGAGTCAGGTAATCACCCCTCGAAATAAAATTACCCACCTAACCACGGACACAGCCCAAAAGTCCATTTTCCATATTTTTTTTCCCTATAAAAATCCCCCGCTAAGCTGCTAATTTTAAGTTCAAGGTTGATGCTGTTTGCAAGAAAGGAAAACAGAGAAATTTACTAAAGTTTGTCTATTGCAGATGACTCGCCTATTGGGTGTTGATGAAGAATTTGGGGAGGCTGCTATCCTTGGCAAGCTTGAAGGCATGAAAGAAATTATTGAAGAAGTGAACAAACAGTTTAAGGATCCGGTGAGATTCGTACCTCAAGATCGTCATTCCTTCTTTTCTTTCCTTTTCTTTTGGGTTGATAACCAAGAAATCTGCTGTGAGGTAGCTAGCGCAACCCGGTTTGCCCACAAGTTCGAAACTTAGGGAGTATGGACCCGTCCCTCTAATCGGCTCCCACAGAAATTCGAGCTTTCATTTTAATGGTAGGGTTCAAAATTGTAACGTGCGCTCCAATCCACACATCCCCATGCTGTGCATCCTTAACATTGAATCAAAGCCCTGGGAGCAATAAATTACCATTCTTATGAAGACACTTTCATGTGCTCCCTCTGTCCCAATTCATTGGCACTCTTCCCTTTCTTTGGCTCGCAAAACAATTGGCACCTTCCTCTATTTAGAAACTTCATGATCTTTATGTTACCATTTTGCTTTCAATGCTATGCTTTTGTAGGAATTGACATGATATATGGACCAATCGGAAAGGTACTTTTGGTACTGGATGTGTATTTAGCTTATGTGTCGAAAGTCTTCATTTCTTTCATAAAATATGTGTCCAGTCAAATGCTACCAAATAAATTGGGAGGGAGGGTGTAATTGTTGCTGGGCCAAGCCTAGTGTCACAAATTAGTTTAATGTCAGATATTCATTTGCCTTTGGACCTAAGGAAACAGGTGAAGTTTAAGTTAGCAATCAACAAATTTAGGGAAAGTGGTGCCAGAATATCCTTTTGCAGGATCTCGTCTACTAGAATCTCGTGTTTTAACGGAAGATACAGCTCCTTTACTCTTTGACCGGTCACCGGAGACAAATACAAGCTGTACAACTAAATTTGAACCTTTTCTGTTGGTAATTTGGTATTACTCCGTGTTTCACTCTATTTTAGGGGTGGTTTTATATTGTCTTTTGGCGGTGGGGATAAGTTTGCTTGGACTAGAAACAGAGTACCATGGGTGAGAAAGAAATTTGCTAAAACCAAGACTGAAGTAACGGACTCATTAAATTTTCTAAGTTGTGCATCTCTCGTATCTGCTGGATGCTACTATTTCGAATATCTGTTGCTTCTTTGAACCATCATTAAAATTGGTTGCACAGTAAAGAGTTCATGCAGCCTTGTATTGTTGGTTAGATAACTATTTATCCTAATGTTTCAGTTGTAAATAGTTCTCACTTCTAGTTATTTGTGTAGTTCTTCATTATTAAGGTCTGAACTTTGACACCTAACTGGTTCCTGTGTTTTCTAAAGTTTGAAACAATGAGTTATTTTGAAGTGGGGAGCAAGGCATATTGATATATTCAATACATTTGTTCTGCTTCTTTTACTTTGATTGTGGAGGAATCTGCTGTTATTGCATGTTGATTCAAATTCTGTAGCTTTTGTGCGTGTATTATAATTGCTGGAGCATACCACCTTCCCCTTTTTTTTGATAAGGTAAAAGTTAAATACCACCTTCCCCTTCATAAAGGAAAGAAAAAAAAGGTTACAGATGTGTCTCACCAGATGCTGAATGCTGAATATTCTTTTGTTCTTTGTTCACTTAAACCTCCACTGTGTTATCAAGTTCAACTGATGCATTAACACCATTTTTCTTTTTCCTCTTTTAATAGGACTTGACAACATTTGTTTGTGTTTGCATTCCGGAATTCCTCTCTCTATATGAGACTGAAAGACTAGTTCAGGAACTTGCTAAATTTGAGATTGATACGCACAACATTATAATTAACCAAGTGATTTTCGACGAAGAAGGTACAGTTCCATCTTCTTTCCTTTTTTTCGTTAATTTTCATTTGGCTTGTACATTTCATTGCATTAATATTCCCTGTGCCTTGACCCGTGCTATATAGTATGACGCTTTTTTAATTTTGGGAAGTTCCAAAAGTGCGACACCCTTCTGTCAGTAATTTTATTCATACAACTTACTTGTTCCAAGAACTCAAATTGATGTACCTAATCGAATTCAAACTTTTAAAACTACTCAATTAATATGTTAATATGTTCTTCCACTACTGTTGTTGTACTGTATGTAGTAAACTAATGTTTTAAGTTCCCAATCGATCTCATATAAATTAGGTCAAAAAGAGTTCTAATTTCTTCTGCTTGATGTGATAAACTAATTTGTAAGAGTTGTAATCCTTTTCAGTTGTTGAATCCAAGTTGCTGAAGGCTAGAATGCGGATGCAACAGAAATACTTGGATCAGTTCTACATGTTATATGACGACTTTAACATTACGAAGTTGCCTTTGCTCCCACAAGAGGTATGAAGATGCTCTTGCGCATAGATATCTGCTTCTTCCTTTTTTTACTGATTTATATTCTCCTTGTACTGAGAAAAAAAAATTACTGATCATAAATTCATGAATCTTCTCTAGTAGCCATAACATGAAAAAAACTGCAGCATACCACCAATGTGAGAACCTTTTGTACCAGTCTGCTCATTGATGAGTTATTTTTTGATAGGTTTGTGGGGTTGAAGCCCTAAAAGGATTTTCGCATCATTTTATAACACCATACAAGCCTTCTCTTGCTCGAGGTTCGGTGGAAGAGCTGGAGAATAGAGTAGCTTCATTGAAAGAACAGTTGAAAGATGCTGAAGCAGAATTAGAGAAAGTTAGAAAAGGCAAACAGAAGGTATAACCAATCTCAGACGACCTGGGCGATGGAGCGTGTTGTTTCGGCTTGGTCGCTTTTGTATTTTTATCAAGGGAAGTATCATTGAATGAATACTTGTGTATTTTTCAAGAGGATTTTCATGTACGATTGTTTCATTTATTTTTGGGGAGGTTCTTTTGTACCTTTGATAAGTTAATAAGTCGGGTCATTTAGGCTTACAATGTACTTGTAGAGGAAAGGGGACCAATGGTCTCATTAGATGTAAACCAAATGATGAAGCCAGTATTTATGTAGTGAACCTAAAAGGCAGTGAAAGTTTCTTGGAGATGATGAGCACATTTTTATTCCAATCGTGAACTATAGTGAGAAGGTTTGTGTTACCTTATTTTGATTTGTTCTTTTGTTGAGAATTAGGTGTAATTCTCTTCGATCAATTATTAAATCCTTAAAAAGGTAAGACAAATGTTTACTTTTTATAACCATGCAACAAGAAGCCTGTTAATTTCCTTTAATCCGCATAAACTGAGAATTGTCCTTACGGAGTATAAGATTCTAATATTCTAAACACCCTCATAGACAGTGATGTTGAGATGGCCGAGTTGGTCTAAGGCGCCAGATTAAGGTTCTGGTCCGAAAGGGCGTGGGTTCAAATCCCACTCTCAACAATCTGATGTTTCTTTTATTGCTTTTTTCCCCTGCTTCTCTAGAATATAATGGAGTATAAAAGTTAAGCTTCATATACCTTGAAGACAAATCGCCAGACGCAATAAAACCAAAGAGAAATACTCTAAAACGTAAGCTCTACACGTAATAGGTCACGAGTAAACCAGAGGTTATGGTGGATAGATCAATTAGAAATCGTTTTTTGAATATTTACCAGAGATGAGAACCAAGTAAGAAAGCACTTGTTTAGTGTAAGAAGTATTCTTTTCTCCTTGTGGTAATTTAGCATTTCAGACCACAGTAGTAGTTTTACTATCATCTTCTCCACAATAACTTCTATTTTTATGTTCACTACATCCACTACTATTTTGTGGCATTGAATGCTAATTTAGTATAAATATATACTTTTATATATACATAGCTCTAATAAGATGCGACCTCTGAATTTATAGATTTTAACCGACTCATTTCGGAATCGACATTTCTTAGTTCTGCTCATATATGTTTCTGGGATATGTTAAAATTTTGTGCTTTTTTGTTATACCATTCCTATTGGTATTTAAGACTAGTAAATCTTTGTGAATTTGGCTCAACCAAAAATTTCTTCGTAATGATTCAAGGTAAAGCATTTGTATCATTTTCCTTCTGCCAAGGTGCCAGGACAGAATGGAATCAGTAATCAAAATGCACTTATATTAGCATCATACATTCAATACACTTCATTGTTGACTAGTACATGACATGATTAATGACCAAAGTTCTATTAGAGTCTGAATTTTTTNAATTTTTAGAAGCTCCTGATGTATAATATCAACATCAACCGCCATGCAATGTTGAGATGAAAACAACGTTATCCTTCTCTTCCAGCACTGTTTCAAGCTGGCCACTTAGTTCCCAATCAGTGTCATTTACAAGGACTAGAACTCCAGGCCTCCTGCAACAAATACAAGTTATAAATAGCTCTCTTCTGTTACTTCTTGGCTTGTGTAAGTGTGCAAGTATGAACATGTTCAAACAAGATAAGGGACAAGGAGGTCTCAACAAGTATGGCACTGTATTTGATGGTGGCACCATTTCACTCAGCATGCTCCGCTATGGAGTAAGGTAAGGTATGCATAACTGGAGGAGGAGGGAACAGGACTTTTAACAGGGGATGAGGTCGTCACTGTAACAGCATAAGGAACTTATGTATTTAAGTATTGCTGAGCTGGGTAAAAAGTTGATCCAACTTACACTGAGTCTCCTTTCATAAACATTTCAGGCCTCTCCTTGATCAAATTGGTGCGAACCCAAGTGAGCAAGTTTTTCATCGTCAACTGGTCAAGGAAAAGAATGAAAAAGGAATCATACAACTGCTCCCCTAGACAGATGAAAGAAAATACATGCTTAATTTGATCTACATACGAACAACAATTATTAGAGATGAAACTGCACCTGCTTCTCTCCATCTTGAGGGTCAACATTGATGTTATGGATCTTCACAGAATCACAAAGAAGTTCCAATCCTCCCCTGAGTTTAGGAAGTAAAAGCATAATTGAAAGATGTCAATACAGGTCAGATGTGTATACTGTATGGTAAGGCATTTTAAAAGGAAGTAGAAAAGAACACATAAGGAATGTACAAAGGCTAATCAATGAGTGTCGTGCTGACAAGAAAAGACAATTCCTGACTATACTATCAAGTACTTGATATATAAGGTCATGAAATTCTGTCCCACCATCACCAGATATATGAGTTTCAAAATATTATCCACATTTGCACAACACAGATGTTAAGATGTTATTCTTGAAACACTGCTAGGTCACTGAACAACTATACATAGAAGTTATCAAGTAGAATCATAGGCAATAGTCACTGCACTATCCCGTCATGTATAACAAGCATTTGCAGAAGATGGTAAATGATCCGCTCAGCTAACAATGATGTCTTTTTAAATTTTGGAGTCAAAACTCATTCATTCCTAGGTGTTGAACAAAATCATTACGCTGAAAAGCAACTTGCTACATCTCAAATCTGAAGAGTCAAGACCTCCAAGGGTTATTTATTAGAACAAATTCTTCTACATGTTACATGTTAGAACAAAGTGCAAATTATTCAGAAAAAAATGAACACAGTGCAGCTAACCAACCCGAGAAAAAAGGAAGAAGAGCTTGAACACTATGCAAATTCCATCTCTTAAGAGTTTCATGATTTGGACCAATTTTCACTTTTCCATCATTAATGTGCTCAGTTATTTGTCGAATTGCCATTACTAATGTTCTTCATGATTTTTATGAAATACTTACTGACTTCGATTGTAAGATCCCAATTTGCTCGGGCAAAGGAATAAGTTACCTTTGGAACACTGTAAAAAACTAACAACAATCTTCAGGCGACACAATAGGTGATTCTTCTCACGCAGATAGCAACTCATGGACTAAGGGCTCTAGTTTGCAATATTCATCTAGTAAAAGACCAGCTAAATGTTGTATATAGCATCAAATTTACAACATCAATTAACTAAAGCTTCATAAAAAAGGTAACTTTTTCTGACTTCTAAAAATAAAAAATGAAAAGATAATTCCTGTGTGAGACTAAATATTAAACTCAAATATCCCACTTTATGCACGAACAGCTGAAACTAATAGCTATAAGCTAATGAAATATTGCAAACATTATGCTGATACTCAAACACAGTCCTCTTTAGTATAGCACAAACAAGCACTCAATGATATTACAGCGGGAACAAAGATAGACTATATGAGTATCTCCTATTTTGCTCAATCAAGTGACTACAACTCCAAACTAGTCAGGTCAGCTATTAGAAACCTCTTCGTCCATGCATCCATACTAATATGGCTATGTCACGTACGGAGGACCTCAATCAGAAATTAGAATCATATTGGATCAACTTTTGGAGCAGTGACTGACTAATATCTAAGTGCTCTTGCTTGGGATTTTGTTAGCCCTCAAAAATAATCCAAAGACACTAAGTGTCACTTTCTCAGTAGCACGGCAAAACCAAAGTAGTAAGTTAAATACATAGGAAAGAGATTGATTGTGCCAAGAATTAGCAAGAAACAGAAAACTGGAACATATACTGCAAACAAGATTAAATCTTTCAACAGTTTGTTTAGTCCCAAATATCTTTAAAGCTTCTAAAATCCATAAACCGCCCATCCTAAAGCCTTATACTCAACTTATCCTTTTTAGCAATCGTGGCTCTAGACTAACCTGGAGAGGGTTTCAACTAAAAATCTTATCTTTCAAAGATTACATCCCAGATTTGGAGCAACTTTAATCAAATATTTGAAAATTAGTTGAATTTGGATGTACCATTAAAAGGAGAAATATAGATTGAATACAACATATAAAAGGAAAATATAAAAGTTACCCGAATTCAAGTGTCAATTGCATCTCTATTTGAAGTATATGAAAAGCTCAAAACCTTAAGAGAGGAGATAGATGGACGACTTGATTTTGTAGGGTTTAGCGGGCGGGTTGAAAGTTGAAACGTTTATTCCCGTAATCTTTTTCTCTTTCCTCACTTTTAGTTTTCCAATTAATCAAAATATTCTCGTCCAGAGACAACCAATAAAACAGAATCAAAATATTCTCATTTCTTTATCGCTTTTTTTCACCCAAAATTTACACGTAAACCATGATATATATGTGTGTCAGTGTGTATATAAAATTTTCATCATTTAATCGTGATTTTTTTTTTATGTACTCTCATCATTTTTATCGCCTAATTTTAATAAATTATTATACTTTAATATAAATATTAAAGTATATTAAACTAGAGTATGAAACGCCTAAAATACAAGGTGAGTCTCCTATTGAATCTGAAGTAGAATACTGGAGCAATGTTGTTGTATGCTATGTTCTAGGTTGCTTACCCTCTATTTTCAGTGATTAAAGGGTTCATCCAAAGGCTTTGGGTAAAATATAAATTAAACAAAATTGTTATGCTAAAAAATAGAATAATTCTAGTCAGATTTGACAGTGAATTGGGGGAAAATGAAGTAGTACAAGGTGGCATATACCATTTCGACAACAAGCCTTTCATTGTGAAAGCTTGGAGTCCGAATATGAAATTCACTCGTGAAGAGATGCACACTGTGCCAATTTGGGTCAAATTTTCAGGATTGAATTTCAAATATTGGAGTGCAAAGGGATTGAGTAAAATTGGCAGTTTAGTGGGAAAACCTCTCATGGTCGACCATAACACTGAGCAAAAGATTGGACTGAGTTTTGCTAGATTGCTAGTAGAAGTAAATATGGATATTGCCCTTCCTGAAGTGGTGATGTTCAGGAATGAAATGGGTAATGTTGTTGAACAAAAAGTCGCTTATGATTGGAAACTCACTGTGTGTAAGTTTTGCAACAAGTATGGGGATTCTAAAGAGGTGTGTAGGAAGAAGAATCCTTCAAACCCTGTACAAAATGCGAAGGAGAAACAAGGTGAGAAGGAGCAGGCAACAGTATTAAAAATCCAGAAAAATAGCCTTCAAATCCAATAGGTGATATAGATCTAGATGCGGGGAGATGAGCTAATGGTCCAAAGACGCAACAGAAAGAAAGTAGTAGTAATGGAGGGTAGATTACACCTTTGAAAACAGAAAAAAATTAGCAAGTCAAGGAACAACAAGTTGTGAAAGGGAATTCATTTCAAGTACTGGACAAGACTGGTATCAGTGATCTTGGTAATAACTTAGATGGAGAAAATGTGGGAGGCTCGACCATTCCTCACTCGGGGAATGGTTAATTGCCTAGCATGGAATGTTAGGGGCCTAAATGCCCCTAATAAGCAGAGGGAGGTGAAGCTCCTCTGCAATAAAGTAAGAGCAGGTCTAATATGTCTGCTAGTAACAAAATTGAAATAAGATAAGGTTCAAAAATTAATTGAGCAGTTTAGTGTGTGGAGGTATACCACAAATCTGAACTATCATTACAATGGTAGGATTGTAGTGGTCTGGAGACCTGACTTCTATAGAGTAACACCTTTAAGTATGAATGCACGGGTTTTGTCCTGTGAGGTGTATTATATTCCCATACATGCTACATTTGGAGTATCCTTTGTGTATGCATTTAACACTAAGGAGGAAAAGAAAGGTATGTGGGAGTATCTAAAAGAACATGTAGCAAGCTGCAAAAGCCCATGGTTGGTTATAGGTGATTTCAATTCTATTTTAAACATGGAGGATAGAATAAGAGGTAATATTGTCTCGTGGGCTAAAGTAATGGAGTTTAATAAGTGTATAGAAGCATGTGGATTGATTGAACTACCTAATCAAGGGTGCAAATATTCATGGAATGATAAACATAGTGATCAAGGAATATATTCTAAGATAGATTGGGCACTAATCAATAATGATTGGCTTGATTCAATGCCTGATTGTAAAGCAATATTTCTCCCTGAAGGCATAAGTGACCACTGTCCAGTGAATGAGAGACATAGAGGCAGGAAACCTTTTAAGTTCTGTAATGTATGGACTCAACATCCACAATACTTGGAGCAGGTTGAAAGAGGTTGGAATATAGAGATTGATGGCTGTAAAATGTTAAGGGCGGTTAGAAAATTGAAGTTATTAAAGAAAACTCTAAGAGTCTTGAACAAAAATTTCTTCAAGAATATTGAGGATGAAGTAAAAGAGGATAGGGAAGCTTTATTGCAAGTTCAGAAGCAGTTACAGCTTATACCAACAGATCCAAACGTGCAACAAGAAGAACATCAGAAATACCAAAAGTCCAGACATTCATCTTACTTAGCTGAGGTCTACTTGCAACAAAAAAGTAAGGCTACATGGATAAAATTAGGAGATGACAACATTAGATACTTCTATTCAGTCATCAAACATAAGAGGCTCCAACAGGCAATTACTCAATTAAAGGATGATCGGGATAACTGGTAGACAGATCCAGATAGTATAGCTTAACTATTTGTCAAGTACTATGAAGAAATTATGGGTAAGAAAGCAAGAAGCATAACCAAAGTTGCTGAAGCATTTATAAAGAATGGCCATATTTTAACAACTGAACAGCAGGTAGACCTAATGAAACCTTTTGAAAGGAAGGAGGTGAAAGCTGCTATATTCCAAATTGACAGTAATAAGAGCCCATGGGCTGATGGTTATAGTAGTGGCTTCTTTAAGTCAGCCTGGCCTATTATAGGGGAAAAGATTACAGATGCAGTTTTGGAGTTCTTCAAAAACGAAAAGTTGTTAAGACAACTGAATGCAACTAATATTGCTTTGATTCCTAAACTAAGCAATCCAGAGTATGCAAGCCAATTCAGGCCTATATCTTGTTGCAATGTATTGTACAAGTGCATCTCAAAGTTATTATGTAGCAGACTGAAAGTAGCAATTCAACATCTGGTAGCAGATAACCAATCTGCTTTTGTACATGGTAGATCAATGCTCCACAATGTGCTTATATGTCATGACATACTGAGGCACTATAACAGGAAGACTTCTCCTAGGTGTCTTATGAAGATAGACATGAGGAAAGCCTATGACATGGTAAATTGGGAATTTTTAGAGGAGGTTCTGATAGGTTATGGCTTTCCAATCAAGTTCACAGAGTTGATTATGGCATGTGTAACTTCTACCAAGTTCTCAATAAGTGTAAATGGTGAAAGTCATGGGTTCTTTGAGGGAAAAGGGGGTCTTAGACAAGGTGATCCAGTCTCACCCTTACTTTTTGTGCTTGTGATAGAATATTTGTCCAGGACATTGGGGTGTATGAGTGCCCTCCCAAACTTCAAATTCCATCCTATGTGCAAGCACTTGAAGTTGACACATTTAGTTTTTGCTGATGACCCCATGGTGTTCTGCAAGGGTGAAACAGGTTCAGTGAATAGAGTCCTAGAGGCTTTAGCACATTTTAGTAGTGTATCAGGTTCGGTGGCTAATATGGAAAAATCTAGCCTGTTTATGGCATGCATTGATGATCATATGAAGGAGGTTCTTCTAAGCAATATTGGTTTCTCCCTAGTGACTTTTCCTATAAAGTATCTAGGTTTACCACTGTCACCTAAGAAGTGGAGCACGTTGGACTGCTATCAACTTGTTGAGAAGATAACAAATAAAATCAAATTCAGTTATGCTAAATAACTATCATATGCAGGGAGGCTTCAGGTGATTAATGCAGTGTTATTCTCAATTCATAGCTTCTGGGGAGCAATCTTTGTTTTACCTCAGAGCATAATGAATGAGGTTGACAAGAAGTGTAGAAAGTACGTGTGGGGTGGCTCAGAGGAGAAGAAGAAGCTTTCCCTTGTAGCGTGGGAGAAAGTCTGCCTGCCTAAGAAATTTGGTGGTCTTAACATTAAAAGCTGCAGGGAATGGAATAAATCTTCTGTTGGGAAACTATTGTGGTAGCTTGTTTTGATAAAGGAGTCCTTATGGGTTAAATGGATCCCCGGGGTTTATATGAAAACTGATGTTAATGTTTGGACTCATCAGGTTACACAAGATTGTAGTTGGTATTGGAAAAAACTAAATTCCCTTAAAGAAGAGATGAGGAACTGGTACCAGGGAGACACATGCAAGCTGAGTGTAAATGGGGATTACTCAATCACAAAGAGTTACTTGGCCATTAAAGGTCCTCACAGAAGATGTGCAACAACTGATCTTCACTGGAATGCAATAGCTCAACCAAAGCACATGATCATCATGTGGTTAACAACTCAAGGAAGACTGCTCACAAAGACTAGACTGAGTTCTTTACATATTTAGGTAGAGGATGATAAATGTGTGCTATGTACTGATCAGGTAGTGAAAACAAACCAACACTTGTTTGTAGAGTGTCCTTGGTCCAAAGCTGTTCGCGAGGAACTAATGCACTGGGCAGGAATTCAAATGCAACTGAGAGATGCACAAAAGGGTTCTGTACATAATTAAAAGGAAGAAGTGGCAGCTGGGTAGGAAGGAATTTGCTGCTGCATTATGGGCAGCAATACTATACCATATTTGGAAGGCTGGAAACTGAAAAATATTCAGGAATACAATTGTAAATACAGAGAGTATAGTAACACAAATTAAGAAAGAGCTAATAGATAGGATTGACTAGTTTAGACATACTAAGAAAGGGCAGAGATGTAGTGTATTGATGCAGAGATTGATGTGTAATTAGTGAACTCTAAGGCTTGATCTGAAACTCTCCAGATAAGGAGTTTGGGGTCGAGGTGCTTTCTAGGTGTACTCTTGTTGTTTGTTATCAATGGTAATTCATAGTGTTACCAAAAAAATATATATAAATATTTTCGTCTTTATGGTATAATATAACAAACTCAAATACTCCATACGTAATAATCCTTCCAATAGAATAAACTTTGTCATAAATGTTTACCCACTCTTTTACCGAGTTGAATAATCTTCCTTTTTCGTTTTTTTTTAAGTGGGGGAAAGAAAACTAGAAAAGGCATGGGAGATAGAGTAAGGGAAGCAGCTGGTAAATACATAAGTGAGTTATGAGTTACATTAGGATTTAGGAGAAAAGTAAATGTACAGATTGTTTGTGCAATGAAGCAAGTTCTGGTAGTATAAGATGGAATAATATAAGAAGCAAGCATGCAATATATCAAACTTATCAAATAATAGCTATGCAGTAAATATTTACATCAAATTAAAGATCCATCACGTAATTATAATTAATTAATATGTATTCTTACTTCATTATATCATTTAATTTGATGAAAATATCGAGTGGAAAAAAAATTATCTATTTGTTGCTATGGTATCATATTTCATCATCATATTGCGTTGTTTAGTTTACCAAACTAAACAAAAAGATCAGATAGCATTAGGAGAATACTTAAACCTTCTTCATTGGCACAACGAACACATAAGATTTGCTTTACGGGATAAAGGGGAACCTGTAATTGCAAGGATATTGGCACCTTGTCATTTTAACAATATTTTATTGGCATAAAGAGGTAAAAATTAATGTTTGAGAAGGAGGCCTTTAGGTATGTTTACCCGTAAAATCGGATAATAATTGAATTTGTAAGTGGTTTTAAGGATACGTAATCTAACTTGATACAAAACGGTAAATCAGATTGTAATTGAAATAAGCAATGAAAAAGTAAATGCAAATCACACAAGTTGAATAATCTTAGCGTTGGAAGGTTAGTCACCCTCGAACCAGAAGTGTTTTAATCGATATCAGAACAACAAGAAAATAATAATAACTTAAAGATAATTATAATATATTGCTTTGGGATACGTGTTACAATGTGTATTATTAATTATCATATTGCCAGTTCCTTATTGATTCGTGTCGAGATTCCCACCGTAATATCCGACCGGTCACGGATATTTCGGACTTCTGTTAATTATATCAACAATGTTTCTCCGAGCTCGTCCGAGGATAAGGTCGACACCGGACTTAATGATCCTCGAAGGCAGGCTTTCTGACCTCGGGTTCTAGCTCGGTGGGACTCGAGGTCGATCTTCAGTCCTTGGTCGCCACGTTCCAAGCTTATTCTACCAAGTTGCATTTGAGCTCAACTTTGACCGTATACAGATAGTCCCCTCATTTTTCGGAGAGTAGACGACAAGAAACGACATGAACTTTCGATCCTCACTTCGATATTTTGTGACTGAAACGACAAAACAGTCGAAACATCTCGTCAGTCAAGTCTTAATGGCATTAAATACTTGTCAGTTGCCGGTCGGCCACTCCCAGATGTGAACAGTTGTTGAGAAATTATAAATATCCCCTCATTAGTTTATTCAAACTTTACTTTCACACCTTCTGCTCTCGTGTCTTAGAAATTTCAACACTTTAAAGCATTAATTTTCTGATTATTTTGAAATCCTTTTATAGGAACTTCTGTTTTTTATCTCAAACCATCAAGCATACCCTTCTAACTTTCTCTTTTTCCTTCATTTTCCAAAGAAATTGCGAAGACTTCAAAATCCGCCCCTCAAAAAGAGAATCCTTCCACCTCGTGGCCGGCTACCGAAGAGACCGCTTCACGTACAGCTGTCGAGGAACTAGCACCGGAACCTCCTCTAAAAAAGTTCATCCCGGGGGGATGCCCAGTCAATGTTGACTTTAAAATCGAAACGTCCTCCTCCGTACCAGGCCGGTGTGAGGACGTTTCGAGGTATATATGTTCGATAACCGAGGGTATTCTCTCCGAAGTCAAGAGGGATTGTAACTGGGCTGACAAACATGTGGTGGTTCCCGAACCTGACGAGGCCATTACCACCCACATCGATGGACTTTAAGGTATTTACACTTACCCATTCACGTTGGGTCCCTTGGATCCAGTCATCATCGACTTCTGCAAGAGATACGAGGTAACCCTTAGCTAGATTCACCCTTCTTTCTAGAGGATCGTAATCCTCCTCCGTTTCTTTGTGAGCAAGATCGAGGGGTGCCCTTTCACGATGAAGAACAAGAGGAAGAGACCTTCAATCTGGTGACCTGAGTGTCGACACGACTCGAAGGGCAAGGGGCCTCCGAACCATAGGTGCCGATCTTCCTCAAGCTAGGGAGGTCGAGGAGGATGCCGATACCGAAGCTTCCCGAGATGTGGGTAATGCGCCGAAGGAAGATCTCTATGCAATAAGGATCACCTAGTCACCTTTGTTCACTGAGTCCATGTACAATGAGGCTCAGACGGTGAAAGAACTTCTCAATGAGGGAGTCCTCGGAGCGGACGATCCCTTCCGTGGCTTCTTCGATGGAGTGGACTCTACGACCACGAAGGGTGTCACCGGATTGGGTGATTTAGTGATACCGAGGAAGAGCCCATCTTCGGTAGCAAGAGGACCTTCCTCGAGTCCAAAACTCGTTAATCGATTGCCTGCCCCAAGTGTGGATCCTGGCCGGAAGCGATTCATCACTTTCTCCCTTCCGGAAGACTCCCGGGTCCTCTCCGGCCCCGTAGGGGTGGCTA